CACACACACACACACACACACACACACACACACACACACACACACACCCCAACCTACAACAAAATCTGATAAGTACTTGGGAAGAAAAGCAATGAGAGCAAATATAAGAGAAAAAGAAGGGAGGGGAAAATTTTTTTAATTTGTTTTCCCTCCAAAAATAGCTTTTTTGAGGGGAAAAAGAAGAAATGGAACACAAAAGTCGGGAACAGAAATATGTGTAAACATATTATTTAAAGGAATTATTTTGTAAGTTTGGCTTTTCTTAAAGTGAGGGTACACCTGTAATTATATTTTGGCAAATTCAGGACTGATCGTGAAACTATATAATTAAGGACAAATAACATTTCCAGCCTCTACTAAAGTCCTCTGCCATTGTCTCATAATTATATGGATGTGATGCTGGGTGTCCAAAGGCCATATCAGCCCTACTTGTAAGCTCTGAAGGCTTCAAGAACGGCCTGATACACTGTGTCAGTCATTTTCAAACTAGCCTAGACAAGTGTGGAGAGGCTCAAAGCCAAAAGAACGTGAACCAAAAGGATGAATTTTCTCTCCAAAATCATTCTTAAGGGATTGCTATCTACAATTACCCCCTGGAATCACATATTTTTCCAATTTAAGTAAATCAAGGGTCTCCGGAATACAGAAGGTAGACCTCTAAGTGTATGGGGTCACTTCCCTGTCCAACAAACTGTTACATTTCTAACTTAAAGCAAAAACAGTCACATAAAACAGTCACATCTCCATAAGCTGATGAGCCTTTAGGAAATTAAACTCTGTGCAAAATGTCCAGGTTTTTTCCAAGAGAATTGTGAGACTACCCAATAATGCAGAAAGGACAAGAAATTTAGAGTAACAGAGACTGGTTTAAATTTGAGCTCTGCTTCTTACATCCTCTATGTGACCTTTGGCCCTACGTCACTTTGCCTCTCTGGGCCTCAGTTTCCTCATCTGTAAAATAAAGGAGTTGGGCTCAATAACCTCTCAAGTCCCTTCCAGTCTACATTCCTGTATTATTCTTTTCATTCCTGATGGTTTTGTTCTGAAGAGTCCACAGTAATGGCCCCCTTCAAACATTTTTGCTCTGCAACTAACTTTTAAACTTTCTATCTGTTTTCAGTGGATTATAGAAACTAATCCTCACAAGTGTGATCAAGATTGACATAGTTTCCCCAATCATCCATAGAGCTGATGTAATCAGGTAAAATGAATGACTTAATGAGATTCAGCTTGGGTAGTGTTGCTTGACAAAGCTGTAATGATACTAAGGCCTCTAAGCTGCTGAAGAAATGAAAATGCCACCTTTCAAATAAAGTGATTTCTATATTCCATTAAGTCTATTTTGTCTAGCTCTGACATGATCCATGATTTTGCCTAAGCTTTTAGCCTGTGAAGAAGATTTTTTCCTTTTCTTTTTCATATAAAATTTTAAACTATTTTCCCTTTGTAAAATTAACATTTATATTCCCTAGACATATTTCCCTCTTTACTGTCCCTTCCTTTTTCCTCCCCTCTCCTCAGGGAAGTGGCCCCTAACCTAAAAACCATAGGTCTTTAAAATGAAGACTCCTCTCAAACCCTTCTGTTCCATGACACATTACACCCCTCAGAAAGTCCTATTCACTCTCTCTACTTGTGCTAAAGTGGCTATTGTGAAAAGAGTTACTGAGAATGTCATAATCTGATAGACTGTATTTATTCACTCTATCCACAGATGACCTTGTACATTCCTGAGCAGCACTCAGGTTAATGAAACTCTCCATTTTCTCAGTTCATATACTCAGTTCCATACTCTACTAGATTTATAACAACAACAATAACTCACATTTATAAAGCCCCTACTATGTGCCAGGTAGTGTGCTAAGCACTGGGGACACAAAGAAATACAAAAGACAGGCCTGCCCTTGAGAAGTTTACAATCCAATTGGGGAACAACAGTTAACAAACAAGCTATGTATGATAAATAAGAATTAACACTAAGACTGCGTTCTACAGTACCTGGCTCTATAAACTATAACTTGCTTTTGTGACCTTGGGCAAGTCACTAACTCTGTAGCCTTACTGTTCTCTTTTGCTAAAGAAGAAAAGGGATTGAATCAGGTAATCCTTAAGGTCCCTTTCAGTTCTAAAATTAGTATTCTCTAGCAGGATAACAAGATAGTAAAGCAAAGTCTCATATATCTCAGAAAGCTGCTTAGGAACTCAAAAAGAGTAGCTTCTAAAGACCTAATCTCAAATCATTTAAAGTCAATTCAACATTTATTAAAAAATGTGGGGGCAGCCAAGTGGTTCAATGGATAGAGTACTGGCCCTGAAGTTAGGAAGACCTGAGTTCAAATCAAGCCTCAGACCAAACATTTGACACTTACTAGTTGTGTGACCCTGGGCAAGTCACTTAAACCCAATTGCCTTAAAAAAAAAAAAAGAAGAAAAAGAAATGTGGAAGGGGTTGTGCTGGATGGTGTAATAAATACATACCCATAATTTTATGGGTTTACAAAGTGCTTTTTCCTCACCACTCTCTGTGTTAGTGTTAAGTATTATGCCCATTTTATAGATGAGGTAAAATGACTTGTCCAGGGTCACCCAGATGGTATGTATTGGGGCCAGAACTTGGACCCAAGTTTTCTGAGTCATTCAATAAAAAGAATGGTGAAATACGAGTACAGGGATTCAAGTCTTAGCTCTACTACCCTACTACATATCTAAACTTGGGCATCACTTGGACCTCTACGGTCTTCATTTTTCCTCATCTGTAAAAATGAAGGATTTAGACCAGATTGACCCCTATTACGTAAGTCTCTGGTCTTCTGGGTTACACATCCAGTGCTCTTTCCCCTTACACACTGAAACAATCATGGCTCCCCATCCTGTGGCATAAGAGCAAAGTGAGGAAGAAGTGGTCTAGGGTTACAAGACTTCACTACTGTGAGTGGGGTCCCACAACCCCTTAACTGCCTTTCAGACACCTCAACCTCAAGAATTCCAAAGGAGAAATTATCTTTCACCACAAACTATTCCCTCTTCCAAACTACTTTCTTACCGTGAGAACACACCACCAGTTCCTCCAGTCACACAGACTTGACACCTTGGGTGCTGTTCTCGGTTTTTCACTCGCAAACTCACCCTACAAAGCCAACCCGGTTTCAAATCCGGTCGTTTGCTAACCCAACCTCAGCGCTAGTGTCCTCTCCTTTCAGATTAACTACAATCTAATCTGCACACTAGGCAGCTAAATGGCGGACTGGTTAGAGCTCCGGGCCAAAGGTCAGGGAGACGAGTTCAAATTCGATTTCGGACACTTACTAGTTGGGTGACCCTGGGCAAGTCACTTAACCCTGTTTGCCCAAGTTTCCTCATCTGTTAAATGAGCTAGAGAAGGAAATGGAAAACTACGGACATAACTGAACAACGCTCTGCATATGTTTGGTATACACTACTTATTTACATGTTGCCCATTAGAATGGAAGCAACTGGAAGGTAGAGGACGTGTTTTCGCCGTCCTTTGTATCCCCAGTGCTCACCGCAGTGCCTGCACACAGTAGGCTCTTATTAAGTGCTTGGTGACTGGTTGCTCCGAGAGGGCTGCTGGAGCTCACCCCCGGCCATGCCCATTACTCGGCTAGTGAGGACGCCCGGCCACAAGTCCGGCCGGGCCCCGCAGTCTGGCCTTCCAGAAGCGCAGCGCTAAGCACAAGGCCCCACCCCGACCCCGCTGGGAGGGTGGAACACAAGCTGGGCGCCCTGGGCAGCGGCCAACAGCCGGTGTCCACAATCGGTCGTGGGGTCCGTGGACTGAAGCACGGGAAGGCGGCCAGAACCCACGGCAGTGGAAGCTCGCCCTGGGAGCCCTCGCCTCCCCGCGGGCGCTGGCGTTCGTCTCCCAAGGGACGACCGGGGGCGCCTCCTCCCCTTCCCCGCAGGCTCCGACTAAAGCGGGCTGGGGGTTCCTTCTCCTCCCCCCTCCCCGGCCCGCCCACGATCACTGGGGTGCCCCCGAGCGTGCTCGCTGGGCCCTGACGTCTGGCTACCGCACAAGAGGCGGCCACGCATCGCGCGCGGAGCGGAGCCCCGCCTCTCTCCATCCCTGGTCCCACCTCCGCCCCTCCTTTGGTCTCCATGCCGGGCCGGGCTGGGGAGAGCTCGGAGCGCATGCGCCCTGAGAGCAGAGTCAGGTGAGGGGGCTGGGAAGGCCGCGTGGTGACCCACGTTGTATCGCGCGGGGGCCCCGGTGCGGCCCCCTAGGGAGGAAAGTAGTGCACCTTTGCGGCAATGGCAGCGGCCCTTCCGCGCGCAGTCCCCCAGGTGAGGGGCCCTCGGCGTTCCTGCCCAGGTGGAGGGGCAGTCCCGTGCCGCCACCCCCATGATAACCCCATTTCTGTGTGTGAGCAGGGTAGGATGGACGACTACCCCAAGGACCGTTCACTGAACTGGCTGGACAGAGAGACCCAGCAGCGCCTTTGCAGACAGGGCCGGGAGGTGCTGCAGCGGGCGCAGAGGAGAGCTGTCAACCGGCCCTCACTAGTGGAAGATCTTCGGGTCTGTGGCTGAGAGCTTTCGGGGAGCGCACACGGATAACCAGGACCCAGCCAGCCTAGAGAAGAGCTCTGCTGGTGGCTGCTGAGCCCCAGCCCCTATCCCTGTGTCTCCTGTACCACTATCATTGTTGCAGGGGGTGGGGATGGGTGGGGAGAGCTTCAGAAACCTAGTAACTGAACCTAACCAGGAAACTTAGTGTTGAACTAGTTGTGCGCATGCGCCCCAGTCAATGACCATGGGAAGTGTTCGATAGTTAGGTTGGAGGACCTGGGTTCTCGGGTCCTAACTTAGCTACTAACAGTGACTTGAACAATGCCTTCTCTAGTTGTTTCTTCCTCTGTAAAATGAGAGGATTAGGCTAGATGTTCTCTAAGAAGCCGGGACATTTGGATCATTAGGCCCACCAGTAGTTGAAAGGATTCATTTAATTCAAGTCTGTGTGTTACTTGCACAGAAAAGCTATAAAATCCGCCTATTAGGGTTTTAGTGCTTCAGGGTAGTAGACAGAGATGCTGAGAGGGGTCATTCTCAGCTAATTTTGATGGAGGGTTGATTTTTAGTGTATCTGCCTTGTTTCCTACAGGCTTCCTCTCTCTCTGGGAGTCAGTTTCCCCATCTGTAAAATGCAGGAACTTGACGATTATCTCAGATTCCTTTTCAGATAATTGTTGGGGCTTCTTTCGGCTCTAAAATCCTGTGATCCAGTTTAAAAAAAAAGTGTATGCTGGCTCTCCCTCCTAAAACAGTAATTTGGAAGGGATCTTAAGGTTATATAGTCCAAATCTCTCATTTTACAGATGAAGAAAGTAAAATGTGGAAAGAAAAGACTTGTCCAAAGTCATACAAGGAATAACAGAGCCAGACATGAACCCAGGGCCCCTAACTTTAAATCCAGTGTTCTTTTTGTGACACCACAACACCTTTCTAGGCCAAAGTTTACATGTGGATAGCCAGGAAAGAATTCTTCTGCAGTAGATGCCTCCAAACACTTACACCACACCTAGAGAGTCCAATATTCAGAAGTTTTCAGAGGCAGAAAACATAGTGGAAAACTCACCATTTGTTCAACCAACAGGGAGAACGGAAACCGATAAACCTCAATACTTCATTCAATACGATGATGGAATACATGGATTACGTTTCAAGCCAGTGTGGGGTGAGTCCAGGCAAAAGCCATGCTACTGACCAACCTACGACTTTTATGACTTTTCTAGGAATTCATGGAACCTTCCTGTTCCTCTCCTGACTTGAGCAGCCTTGATTGGCAGAGCCACATAAGGATCAGGTATAGGTCAGCTCTACCAGGATGCGGCAGCTAGGTGGACAGAGCACTGGGCCTGAAGCTAGGAAGATTCATCTTCCTGAGTTGAAATCCGGCCTCAGACACTTTCTAGCTGTGTGACCCTGGGCAAGTCACTTCACCCTATTTGCCTCAGTGTTCTCATCTGTAAAATGAGCTGGAGAAGGAAATGGCAAACTGTCCCAGTGTTTTTGCTAAGAAAACTCCAAATGGGGTCACAAAGAGTTGGATACAACCTAAACAGACTGAACAGCATAGGTCAGCTAAGAGGTGATGTGAAAGCCAGGGACTTCAGCTAAACTAAAGCATGAATCAAAAACCAAAACAAAGTGAATTTGCTGGGCTCCAAACCCACCTGGACACAAATGTATTGGATCCTTTTAAAACTGAACCCAAATTTTTAAAAATGTTATAGGCCAACTTAAATTGGAACCAAATTTACATCCTTTTCTAATGGGTAGCAAAAAAAAAAATTATCACTGAATCACACCTAAAATTCTACTTATTTCTTCTGGATCAAGTGATTTATGATAATAGCTTTCAGGTACACACTGTGTACCTTCTGATGGTGAAGATGAAGGGACACCATGCAGATCAAAGACCACTAACTGTTCTCCATTAACAGAGCATGAGGAAATTGACTGCAAGTTGGCATGAGAGATGTTAGCCCTTCTCTGACGATGGGGACAGTGACAGTGGTCACGCCTTTCTGTAGATATTTAATTCAAAATAGAAGTTCATTAGGGTAAGAGTTGGGTGCCAACCGACCCATCGTGTAGCCTCTCAAGGTCTATCCTAGCCTTTTCTATTAATTCACTGACATGTTTGCCCATGTTGGGACGTTCAAGGAAAACTTTCATAAAAGCTATTTCTCTTCAAGAAAACTACCAGGTGATTGGATGTAGGGAGGAGACTGGGGGCGGGGGTGAGGGGCAAAGGAAGAACATAAAAGAGAGAGTTTTCTTCCAGTTACTTATACATGTTAGGCTCTGTAGAAGTCCCTTCTTATCTCTGAACACATTTCCACTTCAATTTGAAAGTCATTGTGCCTGCAGAACAAGACGTGAGCCATTGGTTGAGTTTTAAAACAAGAAAACACCTTTTGAGCCATGCTTTATAAAAGAAGTAATGTTTGGGTCTGTGGTTTTAGCAAATGAATATCCTTTTTGCTTTCATAGAAATCCCTCGGAGGACAGATAATCATGGAGCCTCCTCTGTGTTTTATTTAATCTAGGCACAGACACATAGATACTGTGACACTCAGAAGTACCCAGACTCCTCTGGGTAAAGAGTTCCTCATTCTGCCCTGCACTATGGTTCGAGTTAGTGAGTTCAGTGCCTTGAGTAAGTCCTAATGGAGGATAAGTCCATGGTTAACCCTGAGGGGGGAAGTCAGAAAGAGAACAGCTGGAGCTTTCCACCCCTTTGCATTCTTTGACTTAAGACCCTGCCCACCTAGCACAGGTGAGGCTTCTCGTCAGCTGTTTGCTCTTTGCCTCTCTGGCCCTATTTCTAGATTTTGGTAGGACCCCTCCCCTTTCCTCAAAGATGGGACAGTAAACATTTGACTATTTATTGAAGTCTGTTACTGCCCATGACAGGAAATGCACAAAGGGTATTTTTGTCACCTTGGTCAGTGGCTGCCCAGGTTGTTGTCCTAGGAGGACCTTGCTCAGAGCACTGTCCTGCCCAGCTTTGGTGGTCCGGGCTGCTGCTATTGTACAAAGAGAGCGCAGAAGCAGCAGATGGCAGCGAAGGATGCCAAGTATGTTGATTCTTAGCAGACGTTTTGCTCAGCCTAGAGTAGAATCTCTTGGAGAATAGGGAGCTGTTGAACTGAAGAGACACTGGCATTTCTCTCCCCCAGCTTCTCCCTTGGTGTTATTCTCAGTATGGGTCTTGGAGAGTCTGGTAAAGAGCTGAGGAGTCATGGGGGAGACTGGAAGACTGAAAATAGGAAGGCGACTCCCAGGCAGGAGCATTTTGTGGTAGAGGACTTCTCAGGCCCCTTCCAGCTCTGAGTCTCTTATTAGGACTTTGGGCGTCTCAGTTCCGTATTTTGTTCTGCAGAGGTTTCATTCTGTACCAGAAAAGGCAGCGATGAATCACGTCTGCAGATATCACCAAAACCACGTGGATCCAATGTCCTCTTCCTGGGTGAGACGGGTGAGTGCCCAGAGCAGGTGAACCTTGTAAACCCTTGACTTTCCCCATGATAGACACTTGACATGATACTGTTCTCCAGTGTTAAAGTAACACACGGTTCTGCTACCTCAAGCAGCGGGTGGCTCTGGTGGCCTGAGAATGTTTCTGAAATGAGGAAGTAGATTTATGTCCTGAATCATTCCTGCAGGCCTGGGCTGGAGTTACAGCTTTGTTGGTAGCCTTCAAACAAAAGCTGCAAGGTCACTTGGCAGGGACAATAGAGAATAGATTCCTGTCCAGGTAAGACTCAGACTAGCTGGCCTCTCCAATCTTTGAGAGCAATATGATTATTCTGTAATTCTGACATTCAGCATTTAAATAAGGTGGTCCTCTGAGCAGTCTGAGCCTATAGGGATGGGCAGAGGACTTTAAAAAAAATATTCATGCCTTTTACATGAAACAAAGTTAAGGGTGATGGACTTTTTTATAGCATTTTTGCAAAGTGCTTTTCTCACAGTAACCCCGTGAAGTAATGATACACATTTTATAATTGGCATTTTACAGATGAGGAAATTGAGGCCCACAGAGGGGAAATGAGTTGTTCAAGGTCACACAGTAAGTGGAAGATTGACTGGGTTGCCTGACTTTGCGTCCAGTGTTCTTTCCATGATATGACTCTTAACATGTCTCTGGTGATCATTTTTTAAAAATTATTTTGGGGTCTCAGTTATAATTGAGACTAAGTTCATTTCAATCGGAACCTTTCCTTCGAGAGGGGAAAAAAACCCTAAATTGTTGTCAAGGCTCCTTGCTACAAACTTATCCTTTTCAACATCTACCTACATCATTCTGATGAGAGCCAAGGATGTTACTTTTTTAAACTGTTATGATGAAAAAAACCTCAACCCAAAAGGACAAGGTACTTTGTTATAAGCCTAGTGACTTGAAGATTTTTGTGGTTAAACAAAATGGTTGTAAAAAATGTACTCCAGAATAATCAAGCTGGGGTGGCACGGCCCAGCAAGTAATTGGCTGCTTGGTCTGAGTAGGCTCTGGGGGTCTTGGAGGAGTATGGGTAGGGACGGGATAGTTTAAAAAAAAAAAAAAGCCAGAGCAGGAGCTCTAGGTGTTAGCTCTAGCTCCTGCTGGTGAGATGGCCCCAGTGCAACAGCAGCCTTCAAGCTGGGACACGTCCCCAAACTGACCACAGCCTTTGGCTGTGAGTTTAGACTTCAGTTTCCCTCCAAGTGCCACTGTTGCCAACAGGCCTCAGGTTCCCTCCCCTTTGTACAAGCTGCTGATCAGTTTCCTCTTCTGTTGAATTAAAGAGTCATATACTAGGTCAGGAAAACTTAATTTAGGGTCTATGAACCTTTTTTTTAATTTGATAACTATATTGAAATGTATTTTGTTTCCTTTGTATTTCTATGTATTTTGTGCATTTAAAAATATTATGCTTAAGGAGTTGTCCATAGCCTTCACCAGACTGCCAGAGCGGTCCCGGACAAAAAAAAAAAGTTAACAGCCATTGGTCCAGATGATTTCAAGGTCCCTGTTAGCTCTGACATTCTATGTTCAGTGGGGGGGGGGGGGGGGGGGGGGGGGGGGGGGGGGGGTGAAAACGCTTACAATAAGGCTGGGAGAAAGTGGGTTAAAATCTCGATGAGGAATTGGCCCAGATTGCAGCATCTGCTGCACTGTAACACATTATAGATTTCTGGGTTAGAGGAGAACAGAGAGTATAAAAATTCATTCACATTAAAAAAAAAAGCTAAGGATGAAAGGGAGAAAAAAAAATTACTTAGTGAAGAACTCATTGAAAGAAGCCTCTTAGGGTTCTAGGTGTGCCAAGATACGTGTCAGGACGAGTCCAAGATCAGTCTTAGCTAAAACATTACTAGCAAGAACTGGCAGAACGAGCTTGGGGGAAAGGTCATAGCCTTGTCAACAATTCAGAAAACTGGAGCTAATCTGGAACCCCATAAAACTAAGTGCCATTCATGAAATCTTAACTCTGTTTCTTAGAAAAAATCCACATCCCATGATGCTAGAGAGAGCTACCAAGTAACAAATATTGGCCCAGGACCATCCACGTTTGATCCAGAATCATCCAGGTTTGACCCAGGACCATCCAAGTTTGACCCAGGACCGTCCAAGTTTGACCCAGGGTCATCCAGGTTTGACCCAGGGTCATCCAGGTTTG